CCCTATGCACCCCCATCCTCCCTCCCCCACACGGCCCCCCTATGCACCCCCATCCTCCCTCCCACACACCCAGCCCGGGATCCCTCCCCCACACGGCCCCCCTATACACCCCCATCCTCCCTCCCCCACACCCATCCCGGAATCCCTCCCCCACACGGCCCCCCTAGGCACCCACATCCTCCACACCCCATCCTGGGATCCCTCCCCCACAGGGCTCCGCATGCACCCCCATCCTCCCTCCCCCACACCCCATCCTGGGATCCAGCCCCCAGCCCAGCCCAGCCCAGCAGAAGTCACACAGCCGAGTTTCTATCCATGTGCACAGGGCCAGGGCACTGACGAACAGGTGGCATGTACAGGAATCATTCATTTTTACGCTAAAAGCCACCACCTCTGAGGCGGAGCGTAGGCGCCGTAAAACCGCAGACAGTTACATGACCCAACAGTTTACAACAAGAAACCTGGGTCCAACTGAAACTACCCAGGAACTGCAGGGAGCTCAGTGTAAGCTCCCGTCAGGATCCGGCCAGGACACAGGCGCTGACGGCCAGCCGGGGATCTTTACCGATCTCAAATGGTCGGGAGCTGAGGGTGCTCCAGCACGTGGAGTCAGTGCCTCTTGCAGCACCAGCTTCTGAGCAGGGTCAGTGCTGCTAACTACGGGGAGAGGGGAGCCATAGCCTCTGCTGGCGTTCAGCAAGCCAGAGAGAGGCTCCCTGGCATGCAGGGCACCGGCCGTGAGTGAGGCTCAGGAAGGGCGCGCCACAACAGAACAGTCTGGGGCTCTGGGCTGCCTCTGGGGTCTGCCAGCAGGGACCTGCCTTCCTGAGTGTGGCTGCGAAGTTTGTGGCCCAACAAACACTAACTCCCAACCCAGAGCCCGAGGTATGTCCACCCCCTCCCAAGGTGCCTGGGATCAGCCTGTCCTCCCCCTGCCTGCTGTACAGACAGCTAGACCCACTGGTCTCATCAAAGTGCCTGACAAAGGCACTACATGTGTCATAATACCCCCTTCACCACCCTTCAGGGTCTCAGGGCCAGGGCTCTGAGCGGGAAGGAGGCAGAGGTCAGGCTGAGGTGCAGAGGCAGCGATCAGACCCCCTCCATCCTGACAGTGGGCACAGGGGAGGGGCAGTGCGAGCCCACGTCCAGTGGCCAGCAGGCTAGGTGAGACGTGGAGGCCCCATGGCATTTGCCTGCAGGTGTTCTGCCCCATTTCTGCAGTGCTTGGACCTCCAGCCCCACCTTGCTCACTCTCTGGAGCAGGGTGATGTTTATTTCTATTCCACAGACCCGTCCCCACTGAGTATGGGGTGACAGCGCTGCTGTGTGTGGGGCTGGGCTCCTCTCTTTGACTCGCTACAGGAACTTGGCACAGCTAGCCAGGGCCCTGTCCCAGGTCCTCTCTACACAGACAAGGGCTGGTTGGCCTGAGGCCAGGCTCATCTGACCCCAGACACTGAGCAGGGGTTTTATTACAGCCCCTTCCAGGATGGCTGGAATCTCCAGTGCTCAGGAGAGATGTACAGATAATGGCCTGAGATCAGAGCTGGACAGCTCAGACTGGAGAGCAGGCCGGGATCACGCAGGGTGCCATGGGAGAAAGGCACAAGAAGGGAAAGGGATGGGAAGAGCAGAACCCAGCCCCTGGACTCTGCTTTCCAGGGTGAACTGGCCTTCCACATGCTGCTCCCCCAGTGGCGTTCCTCCAGGCTCCCTCTGTCCTTGAATTCCTCTCTCCCTCTTCCATCTGCAGCCCTGTCCTCATTCCCTGCCCTTCCCTTGCTTGCATTTCCCTTCCACTTTCATGCCACCTCTTTAACTCTCAGAATGACTGAAACCCTCCTCAGTCTCCCTTGGAATCTGCTGCCTTCCCCTTTAGCTCTATGGGGATTTCGTTCCCATCTGGCTTCTCTCTCCGTTTAGCCCCCTCATTGATCCATCCAGCCTACCCTTCGAATAGCTGCCTTTGTATTTTCTCACTCTTCCCAGTCTGTGGTGCTCTCCCCTCATTCTAGCCTCCTTCCGCACTCCCTGGGCTCCAAGCCTGTCTCTTTATTCTCTCCATCTCGGTCTCTTTTCTCTTTCTACCATTCACCTGTTGTCTTTCAGTCTTGGTTTTGTTGTGATTTGTCTTCTCTGCTCTGCCTCTTTCACATGTCTATTCTCCCTTCTCTCTTTTTACTCCTTCTCTCTGTCTCTTCCCAATCCCCGTGTTCTCCCGCTCTCTGGGGGCCTTTGTCTGTAGCAGTTGAAAGTTAAAAGCTTTCCCAACTTGATCTTGAGCAGCTTTCTCTGGCGTTTCATCTTCACAGCACATTTGTAAAACTGCTCAGACTGAAGGGCCGTGACATGAACAACTAAAGAAATATCAGAAAAGAAACAGGGCCTCCCGACACAGGATGGAAATTTGCCATTTTCTCTGAGAAAATCTCCCTGCTTCACAAACACTGAGATTATCTCCCTCCACTGCTCTTGTAAACACAACAAGATAAAAACTATTTATTGGGATTTCCTCCTCTGGTTCTCAGACCTCCAACCTCAAGCAGGCAGCTGCTGGGAGAAGAGATTGGAGCCGCTGGGAGCTATCCCTGCAGCCCTGCTGGGTAAGTCCGGAGTAGCTAGGAGCTTCCCCGAGCCAGCACTCCTGCCCCATTCCCTGCTGAGCTTCCTGCCAGGAGAGGCGGTTCCTGGAGTAGCAGGGAGTTTCCCCTGTAGCTACAGCCTCTGCTCTCATCCCCACATTACCTCCTGCTGGCCAGAAGAAGCTGAGCCCTCCCCTGACAGCCAGCATCTCCTGGTGGGTTTGTCTTTCCCAGGCTGTCTGCCAACTGCCAGCAGTTGCTCTCTGCTCCATTAGGGCTGGAGTCGCTCCAGAGAGGGACTTCGCGGAGGGAGCTGTGCTGCTTTCAGGCCATTCCTCACTGGGCTCTCTTGCTTTGCAGAGTTCTTTCACCTGGGAGCGGGGAGAGGGAGACACTGATCTTAGCTGAGGTTAGTGGGAGCAAGAGCGTGGGGGTCTCTGACCTGCCTGACACAGCCAAGGAGCAGGGGTTTCTGTGGGAATGCCTCGCTGAGAAGCCTGTGCCGCCTGCTCTCCCTACTCTCTGAATCCCACTGCCGCACCTCCGCTGGAGCAATGGATCCAGCTGCACAAGAGTGGGACAAGCTCTGTGACTCACCTCTCTGGTGGCAGAGCCAGCGCCCATTAATAGAACTCTCCATCCACTGGCCATGGCTGGCTGGCTGGCTG